TGTATATGTCTTTGCGCAATTTCTATTTCACAGAAAATATGCAAAGAGAGGCAGCTGTAGACACCCAATTTGGTCCAAGCTCGGATCAATTGGACCTGGTCCAAATGGGTAAGCCCATTTCAGTTTGTTTTATTTTATTATTTTTTTATTTATTCTGTATTTTGTATTGTGTATTTTTGTATTTTATTTATTTATTATTTATTTATCTATTATTACTATTTATTAATATATATTATCTGTTTATATATCTATTATATATTATTATTATTATTATTTATCTATTTACATATTATCATTTATCTATTAATATATATTTTATTTTATTTTATTTCTTAGTTGAATCTCGATTGGGATTAGAATTAGAAAGACTGGAATTCTGACGAAAATTTGGGGTTGACAGAGTTAGGATTGGATTAAAAGATTGAATCCAAGCCCTAGAAGAAATGGGATTGATCAGAAACTCTTCTAATCAATCTCTATAAATAGGTGCTCGAAGAACAGAAACAGGAACAGAGAAACACAGACACAGAGGAGAAACAGAAGTTAAAAAAGGGTTTTTGTGCGTTATAATAGCTCTAGGAATCAGTGGGAATTTTTTTGAATTTTTGGAGATTTTTTTTTTTGAAAATTTTTGGAAAATTTTTAGATTTCGGTTGAATTTTTCAACGAAGTTTGAATTTTTCGACTACTTTTTCATCAAAGTTTGAATTTTTCGATCAGCTACCCAGTTTTCGACTACTATTTTCAGAAATCGACCAGCTTTTCAGTGAATTTTCAACAAAAAACCCAGATTTCGATGAAAATTTTTAGAATCCTACGAGACTCAATCGGAGTTCTTCGTCAGTTTAAAGAAAAAGGAGAGAAAAAGAAAGGAAGAGAGAGAGAAGGAATGCTCGGTTTACTGAAAAACAAAAGAATTAGCCTTTTATACCCAGTGAAAACGACGTCGTTTTGACGTTATTGTGCCCAGAAGATCCACATGTTTTGAAATCGAGCGACCCGACCCGAGCATCAACCCGCTTTCGACCCGCCTTCAACCCGAGTGCGAGCCATTTCCTAAACCAAGCCGAGCCGCGTCTTCTAGCCATCTTTTTTTTCTCAAGCCGCGCCGAGTCGAGCCGCCAAGTCGAGCCATTTTCAAGTTTTTTTTTCATTATTTATTTATTTATTATTATTATTATTATTATTATTATTATTATTTATTAGATTAGAATTGTTTAATACATTTTTTTATTTTTATTTTTTAAATAAAATTCAAAAATATATATTTTTGAGGAAAAGTTGAAAGTATCAATTTTCCTTGAAAATAAGCTTTCTAAAAAATATTTTTGAGGAAAAGTTGAAAGTATCAATTTTCTTTGAAAATAAGCTTTCTAAAAAAATTATTTTTAAGAAAAAGTTGAAAGTATCAATTTTCCTTAAAACTAGGTTTTCAAAAATTTTTTTTTGGAAAAAGTTAAAAGTATTAATTTTTCTTGTACAAAAGCAATCATTTTTTTCTTTCTTTTTTTTTTTTCCTTTTTTATTTTCTTAGATTTTCTTTAATGTTAAATAATCCGACAATGGAGCCTCTGCAAGTGAAATAATAATTTTCTTGCATGCTCTTGAGGTGAGAGAATTTTTTTAATTTTTCGCTAAAAATATTAGAGTCAATTGAGAGTAATTTTCAATAATTAATTACTTGGTAAATTTTTAAGGCTTATTGGATAACATAAAATTAAGCTAGTACCATCTTTTGATGGGCGTTGTGAATGTGCTATAACCTTCCTCACACGTAATTGAACTCCGAACCCTGTTCTGATTAGTAGACCCGAACCTATTCTTCTAGTGACCCTTAAACTTAGGTGTTCCCTGAAAGGATAGATTCTTTAGGTGATCAATCGCACTTAGATAAAAAAGATTGGTGACGATTCCTTCAAGTCAATGTTTAGCAAAAGATCTTCGGATCTAGACGTTATGACAATACATACATATATATATATATATATATATATATATATTCCTGGAGAAATGTAAGTAAATTATGCAGCAATAACAGCTGAACTTACTTTTGAAGAAAATCCCAATTCAAAAGTCGGGCCTTGGATGATTTATTTTAACTCCTTTATTATCATTCTGCTTGCAAAAAATTGGCTGGCTGCTTTTCATGTCATTCAAGTATACTTTGTACCTGTCTGAGTGAAAATGCAATTTAAAAGTGCCATTTCCTTTTGATTCATCAATTTAGTGAAGGATCAGCTGCTGTTTCTATTCTTTTTTTTTTTGTTTTGGCGTGACTGAAATCGGCTGCTTTTCACCCAGTGAAGTAAGTGAATTTAGCTTACTAAAATGATAGCTCACATTAAAATTCCTTAGTTTTCTTTTTTTTCTTAAATTTAAATGCACAATCCCAAAGTGCATATTGCCATCAGGCCGGGCCATTAGAACCATCATAGCTTATTATCAAATCATTAGATTTTGGAAAGCCAATTTTATGTTATTCAAAACCGTGACCATTCACCAAAATAGTAGGATTTGGAGAATGAAGAATCATTTGTACCTATAGAAGAAAACACTTAAGCATATGCATATTTTATTAAGAAAAAAAGCCTCCCAGCGGTTGGAATCAAAGCTCAGCAATCTGAATCTGGAAATTATGAGTTATATACATTGAAAGTGGAGTCATGATTATGGCCACTGACGATGGTCTGAAATCTTAAATCCTCGATGGAACAGACCCTGAATCTTTGGAAAAGATGAAAATGTTCATGTAAACTGCTAAGGTTTTTGAAAGTTGACTATATAACATGAATTCCCCTGTCCTGTGATACATCAAATCACGTAGATAAAGAATATTTGATCATCAAGTCAACTGCTGATCCCTTTAAAGCCAAAGCCTTTCGAAAAGAGCAAAGGGTAGTCTACTGGTAATGATCTCCGGATAGCATCTACCTTAATTTTGTAAATTATATTCAGAAAATTTGGAGAATGAAAAAGGAGACCAGATTTTATTTTTCATTTATGAATGAAACGGGTTGATAGCATCTACCTTAATTTTGTAAATTATATTCAGAAAATTTGAAGAATGAAAAAGGAGACCGGATTTTATTTTTCATTTATGAATGAAACGGGTTGATGGGATGGGAGCAAGCGTCGAGGAATATTGTCGGCACGTGCAGCTAATCCAGCTTGCACTAATTCTTTTTCCATATATTTGAAACTACCAAAGATTCAATCCATCATTAAAAGTAAAAAAAATGTGATTTTCGACACACAAGTTAATTGGTTTGTAAATAGAAAGAGTATCAATGGATTATTGGGATATGATTTTAGAGAAAGATGTAAGAAAAGTAAGATTTTATGAAAATCTTATGGGATTAAAAGAGATTAAGAGATTACTTTCAAGGGCCATGATCGATATTGTTATCAAGCATGGAAATTTATCACTATTAATTGATATATGGTACCATATTTGGTTAATAACACACACTACGTATAATCATAGGATTAATTAAGACCAAGCATTTTACAAGGATTTCACCTTTCTCATGATCATATAATTCAAAATTTGATTCGATAAATTAATTTTACAGATCATTAAAGCCATCATCTTTGTATAAAATTAATAATTTATTTTAATTTACACCAATGATCAAGCATTTCAAACAGTATTACTTAGTAAGAGATGAATGAAAATTTAGATAAAAATTTTAAATTATTTATTTGTCAATGAAATAATATCATATGATTCGTTGATAATGCATAAAATTTATAAAATGAAATTGCATCTTATATAAACCCTTAAAAAACTATTTAGCTTGTTTATAAAACAAATTAAAGCAGATTAAATTTGGAATATATATACAAATTAAAAATATACATAATATAAAACTCATTATTTGCATATATCTCATGCACACTTCATGTCCACCTTAAGCATGATGCGAGAAAGAATATGACACATTTGAATAATTCATGCATAAGGTTAACTTTGGATGAATTAATGCGAATGAGTGTAAACGTCGCTGTTTGGTATCATCTCTAGCTGTATGAAAAAAGAGGTTGTGATGGTATTATTTACGTCCTTTTATCATATTTAGGATATGCGTACAATTTGCAAATAATGTTATATATATATATATATAATTATGTCAGTTTTTGAACACAAGTTTGAAATAATTGTTATACATTACTAATAGCCTATAGGCCCTCCTGATGTTAACCAGAACATATGGTACCATTTGAAAAAAATGACACCCTTCCTCTTTTTGGACCATTTAGGCAGCCGGCGCAGTCAGTTGATATAGAAAAAAGTTTATAGAAAAGATTTCAAAATCCCATCATCAACATGGAAAATATTTCTGCTAAAATCTTTCTAATAAGGATAAACACGAAAATTCAAATCATCAACTTGAGTAATGTCAAGATAAAGTTGAAGCACAGCTGAAATTACTTCTCTAATAATAATTGAAACACAAAAAGCAAAAAAAAAAAAAAAAACAAACACCACCCTAACGAATACAACCCATATTCTCTTAAAATTTGATCAGTTTTAATTTGTTTTCATAGAAATTTGGACACTTTTTGATCTCTCTTTCAAAACCCATGTTGATCATTAGTTGATTGGTTTTCGATCTCCATTATCACTAACCATTAATTAGCAGGATTGGTTCAAGATATATGTTTAATTATTACGAGTAGTTCAGACTTGAGAGGGAGCCTTTAAGAAAATCGGATGGCTAGGAACTTTCAGTAGCGTTTTCTTTCCTTATTTATCGCTTTCTAATTTCCTTATTTCTTTATATTTTACTTATATTTTGCTCTTCAGAGATGAGATTGCCTTCGGAGGAATCAAAGTCTGGTAGGACCGTTTCCCAGAAAACACTCGAAAATATCCAAACCCTGGACACTGGTTGACCCTGCTTGATTGAATAGTATCATCAATTAATATAGATTTTCTAGAGTATAGCCATTAGCTACTACTTGTCTTTCTAAACTGGACTGTTTTTCCTTTTATTCTCTCTGGTTTTTCTCTCCTGGGAGTCGATAAATTAGTTTGTTATTGGTTGATGTTAGTTATTTCACAACGCGGATAAGACCCTTTCAATTCATAATTCCAAAAATCCAGGAGCAGGAATTCGCAGAATATTTTCTCTCTCCAATATATCTCGTTGTAGATAAGATAAAACCATGTCACCTTTTCCCTCATCAACCTAATCCTAGTTCTAGATTCAATCGTGGGAAGGGGAGAAAAAGGGGACGTTGAACTGTGTGATGTGAAGTACTATGAGTTTTAGTTTGTGCCAAAAACCGCTAATTACTCATCTCTTATCCTTAGTTTTTCTTCATTTTTAAATTAGAGCAATCGAATCGCAAGCTTTGAAACAAAAGATCAAGCTTGCTTCTTTCAAACTGTAGCTTGCATTTTGGTTCTTTTTCTGTTTATGGACTACTCCAAGGAAGTTGAAGGAAAAAGAGTGCATGACCATTTTAACAAGAATATGACCACGTTAGCAAGGTGTATATGGGTGCCATGTCCTGTTATAATTGGTGCTGGCCCTTCAGGTCTAGCCACAGCTGCTTGTCTCAAAGAAAGAGGTATCCCTAGCTTAATCCTTGAAAGGGCTGATTGCATAGCTTCCTTGTGGAAGCTAAAAACCTATGACCGTCTTCGCCTTCATCTTCCAAAGCAATTCTGTGAACTACCCCTCATGCCATTCCCAGCAAATTTCCCAACTTATCCAACCAAAAAGCAGTTTGTGGCTTACTTAGAGTCCTACAAAAACCACTTTGGTTTAGACCCAGTTTTCAACAAAACTGTAGTGAGTGCAGAATTTGATCATCGATGTGGATTTTGGCGGATTAACACATTGGGGCTGAAACAAGAAGAAACCGAGTATGTGTGTCAGTGGCTAATTGTAGCTACTGGGGAGAATGCTGACGAAGTGGTGCCTCAAATTGAAGGAATGGATGATTTTGGTGGGCCTATAATTCACACAAGCTCATACAAAAGCGGCCGATTGTTTCGAGGAAAGGCTGTTTTGGTGATTGGTTGTGGGAATTCTGGCATGGAGGTCTCTTTGGATCTCTGCAATTGTAATGCTCGCCCATCCCTCGTCGTTAGAGACTCGGTGAGCATGCTTCTATCCTTTTCATACATCATATAATAACCTGGAAAGCAATCGTTTTATTTCTTCAGAAAAATGCTTGGTTTTTATTCCAAGCCAAAAATAGAAGAAAAACTTCCATCAATTCCTTGTCGCCAGCTTTCACATGCACAAATACTTGTTATAGGATTTAAGAAGTATGAGACCTTGTTTATGTAAGACCACTTCACCTTAGGATTTTATTTGCTCCCAAGTGCCGCTATTAAAGTACAGTGCAGCAGTTGCAAGACTAAATTTTCTTCTCACTTTCTTGGAATTTGGTTGCATGCGCAACAGTGGTCGGTAGCCCAAAATTTTATGCCGTACAGTCCTTTTTTTTTTTTCTTTTTTCGTCTACGGATTCTTCTGTAGAAAGCACCATTACGCCTCAGATTCTAGAAGGCATATGTATGGATAAGTGACAAGGGATAAATGCCCTAGAAGACGCAAATTCATACGGGAGTATGTGGAGGCTCATTTATCATCTCATCTTTAGCAGTACTTTCTTTTTTAAAAGGCCTTTTAAAGCAACCTTCTTTTTCATTGTTGCAGGTGCACGTCTTGCCTCAAGAGATGCTAGGCAGATCAACTTTTGGACTGTCCATGTGGTTGCTCAAGTGGTTCCCCATGCGCCTCGTGGATCGGTTTTTACTTCTGGTGTCGCGTTTCATGCTCGGAGACACTGAAAAATTCGGCATCCATCGTCCCCAACTCGGTCCTCTTGAGCTCAAGAGCAGATCCGGCAAGACACCTGTTTTGGATGTTGGGACACTAGCAAAGATCAAGAGTGGCAACATTAAGGTTGAAAGCAAAAATTTTCTCTGTGCTAATTAATTCAACCCTACTGCCCAAATACAATGATAAATGATAGCTAAGTAGTAATATTGTTATTTTCTAACTAAATTAGTTACTGTGTTAATTTTAGGTTCATCTCTCCATTAATTTTTTTTTCATTATTTTTCAATACAATCATAAACACCCACCATTCACATGTATAAGATCCACTTATGAAATGTGAAAATCATAATTATGGTAGTGATGAGTGCATTAAAAAATAGTGAAAAAAAAGGAAGGGATGAATCTCAACAGTTTATTTTGTCATATTGGATTGTTGAGAATTATAATTAAAAATAAATTTCTCTATGTAATGTATAGGTCTGTCCCGGAATAGAGCGACTAACATACCGTGCGGCAGAGTTTGTAGATGGGAGAAAGGAGAAATTTGATGCCATAATCCTTGCCACTGGTTACAAAAGCAATGTACCACAATGGTTGAAGGTAATTAAATTTATTAATTTTTTTGGATAATTAAAGATGTAAACATATATATTTTGTTTCTTTTAAGACTCAAGAAACTTAAAGATGTGTTGACTTGAGGATTTTGCACTGATCAGGAGGCAGATTTGTTTTCAGAGAAAGATGGTTTGCCTCGGGAGTCATTCCCTAACGGATGGAAAGGTGAACGTGGGTTGTATGCTGTAGGATTTACAAAGCGTGGTTTGCTTGGTGCCTCCTTTGATGCAAAAAGGATAGCTGAAGATATTGAGCATCAATGGAGAGCTGAGGCCAGAAATTTCATGACTTGAAGTGCGACAACTGATCTAAGATAAAAAAGACCAATGGACTACCTGATCTGCTCCACCATTTTGCCAAATTGTTTCCGCCCCACTTCTTCCCTATTGACTAAATATGCTAAAAGACAAGAAAAGGGAACAAGAAATGTCTGTGATTATTTTATGTATTTGTCAACTAAATAGAATGTGGTAGTACGTAGCTAGGTAGGCTTGGCAAGGATTTAGAGTAAAAATATTCTCAGTCAGAATATCTTGTAAATTTCCTTTTTTCCATAGTGAAGTAAATTGCTAGTTTTTTTTTTTTTTTTCTTTTCATTTTTCTGGGAGGGGAGGGGTGGGGGTTGTTGGTCTACCATTATTTTACATGTTGCCATGGTGATATTTGGTTTTCTGTGTCTATGTGTTTCCATCGGATTTGGGGTCAATCATGTATATAAAACAATAATGTGTTATTTTCTTGAGTATTTGGTTTTCAAATAAAAGTTTCGTGTACCTTTAAAATAGACTGAAAATTCCACAACGGGTCATAATTTTGGGTACCACATGAATGATTTTTACTAATAAGCAAATGATTGAGCCAATAGTTATCCTTAATGATTCCTGGAACTTTTAAATTATATATATATATAGATTTTTTTGTTAAATAAATATCAATAATTATATGATCTGATAATAAAATATTAAAGTTTTAATTTTAATGATTATTTGAGTGATTAAGATTTAAATATTGATACTCTTAAATAGAAAAAATTAAAACATTAAAAAATATATAAAAGAAAAAAGAAAAAAAATCCCTTTTAAGATGATGGAAAGGTCCCATGTATGAAGCTTCAAGTCTTCTTTGTATATCTTCAGCAGATCATAACCTTTTTTCATTAGTTTTTTACAGCTAATTATATAAAAAAATTGAAATTGGATATCTTTTCTTAATGTTGGGCTTTGGTATACTATAGTATATATAATATAAGAAAGTTGGACCACCCATTATCTAAGCACAGTCCAAGCAATCTCCACCGCAGCTTGTTCCCTATCATTTCAACTCTTGGCTGGGGTCTGCTGTATTTAAAACAAATCATTTGTCAGGGAAAAAAAAAAGAACTTGAAGAAGGGCAGTCATAATTATACCTGAACTTTTGAGATATGCAAGACAAAGAGGTTTGAATTAGTCTGCTTTCAGTTGATAAGAGTGGGGAGATGTAACATTGTATACTAGTATTAATTTTGTAATTATTTTAGGTGGGCGAAGGAAAGGGTTGCGCTGCATTCGTACAATTGAGACTAAAGCTTAATTTTACAAGACTCAGTAGGTTTTTTGGAATATATAAATGGACGCCGACACAGTTTCAAAAGCCAAACAACAGTATTCATTAAATTTAGGACTAATTTTGCATACATGTTGAAAGCAATTTTTGTGTTTAAAAGTTACTTTGACTCAATCTCAACGTTTAACAATAAAAAAAATATGATTTTTTTAGTTTAAAATTTTGATTTTAAAACTTAAATAAAAAAATTCCTTAAAAAATATTTTTGTGATGAAAAAGTACATTTGAGATAAAAAATAAAATAAAATATCCCAATATTTTTTAATATTTTATTATTTTATACATATCTTTTTAGATATTTTAATTACTTACAATATTTTTTTCACAATAATATCAAATACTTAAAATTTCTCATTACACTTTTTTCAATTCAAATTTTCCAACTACAACAATAGTGCTAAATTAGTCAACTTAACTAGTTTTTAGTAGTCATTAATTGCGTATGGTATGGTGTATTTTTTTTTTTTTTTTTAAGTTGGGGGTGAACTAATCTGGAACCCCTTCATCTATAATTTTTTTACTACAATCATACACTTATCTAATTACAATGAAAAATTATGTAAGAATCTACTATTTATAAGTACATACTTTATATAAAATTTTGATTGATCTCACACAATTTTAAATTATGACTGATTAATTATAGTTTAATAATTGTAGATGATATACTCTCGAAGTAATTTGTATGAGTAGATTTATAGTAATTTGAAAATTTTACAAAGTAGTGATATTAGATCGTCAAAAGTGATTAAATTAGTATCTTATAAGGTGATCCATATCTTATCCATAAGGATATGAAAATTTTATTACCGAGAAAGATTGATATCCAAATTTATTTTAGAAAAATTTACGTGATAAGACCAAAAAACCGTTTCTTTTCAAAATTTAATTTTAGAAGTAAATCTTCATTAAATATGAACATGTCAATAACTTTAAATTATACTCACCAAAAATAGTTCATACCTTATACTTTCTTAGAATTCTTATTTTATAAATTATTCATTCAATAAAAATTGAAATTGTTTGTTTTTTTTTAAATAATTTTATTATTAATTAATAACAAAATTATTTTGAGTCCTTTTATTTCAGTGTGTTTTTTTTTTTTTTACGATAATATTAAAAATAGTGATTTAAGATAAGATGATATTGCAGCAAATTAGTAATTTAAGATTATTAGTGATCAAACCACTTTAAGATCTTATAATCATGGTAATTAAATCATTACAATAATCTTAAAACTAATACCAAATTCTAAACTAAAAGAGGATATATCTATCTACAAATAAACACCATAACAATTAAAATATAAAACCTTAATTTTAAGTTATTTGAAAATTAAATATTTTTTTATGAGATGCTATAGAATTACTTTTTGCTATGTAATTCAAAATTCAATAAATTTTCACATATACCACCAAAAAAATGAATGATTGATCTATTGATCACTATATTTATTTTTTATTTCATGATAAAATTATAGATAAATCTTGGGTACTTGTACATGAACTTGATCAATATTAGTCATATCATTCAAGAAAACTAGCCTCACTTGTTAAACCCAATTAGATTTAGCAAAAATATAAAAATAAAAAAAGGCTTAAGTCAAAAGTAAGCCTAGATATCAGATCAGATATGGCATGAATAATGTGTATTTATAATTATACTATAAGCAAATGAAGAATTTAATTAATTCCTAAAAGGAAAGTAAGTAATGTTTTATAATATAAGAATAGTATGTGGACATGGACAAGATCATAATGTTAGAATGAAGGTGTTAGTTAGGGTTTAAAGATATGTTGTTAGTGGGTTTTATTCCGACCGAATGGACTTTGATGGCCACTTACAAATCGAATCTTTGGCTTTAGAAAAAAAAAAAAAAAAAAAGACATTAAACTCAAACACACAGAGAGAGAGAGAGAGAGAGAGTAGGATCAAGTATCAACATCAAAGGCTTCTCTGCTTGTAAAATCCGGCTTAGGACCAGTAACGTTGGCCTACTAATTATTGCCTGGCCCATTGAAAACCTCTCCATAATTCCATCTTACTCCCATTTCCCTACCGACTCTTTTGGTTTCTTTAATATACCCTGGGATAGTGTAGAGCTAAACCTTTTGAAAATGCACTGCATAGTTTTCTTTTCCTTTCGTGGCTTGCTTCATTGCCGATTGCTTCCTCTCCCACTAACATCATCATCACATATTTTTCCTTTTTTAATATATTTAAGGTTGCAAATAAATGAATCGTGATCACTTAAAATTTAAATTTCATCAACAAACACACGACTGTTAACAATGTTTTTTTTTTGAATAAAAGAAAATAAGATATTAGTGAAATGACAGACTTTTCTAGTTAAAGGTTAGACCTTTTTGAAGAGTGCTACTTCTATATTACTCCAGCTAGGTAGCTGTTTGGATTTGGAAGACGATCGAAAATAGTGACCTGGTAGAGATCGTAGCTGCAGCTTACATATGGTCCAGAGATAGTGTGATAGCCACGCGGACGTACAAGTAGCGATGGGGTGCGGCTCTCCCGAGCCTAAGGTACACATGGTGCACATGCAGGCCCGTGGATTTGGACCATCTAAAACTAAATACTAAATAATGATGGATTTACTGCTTTTATTGTTCGTGGTCCTATTATTTATGGCAGTAGTAACCGTCTTATTTCTATTTTTTTCCACCCGCTGGACCATTTTCCATTATTATGATTAAATGCACCATCTCAGAGCTGGTGTGCCCTTACATTGTTATCTTCTTATGTTTTCTTTCTTTTTTATATACACTTAAATTAATCGATTGACCAAGAAGGCATGTTTAGAAAATTAAAGTCATGATTTGGAAATAAAATTCGCTTGTGATATTTTATTCATCATTACCATCTCTCCAGCCTTGTGTTAATTAGAAAATGGAAAAATGAATACTAGCATTGATGGGGATAATGGGAGTCTGTTGGTTTGAAAAGA